ATCCAATTGCGCAAAATCATTTGAATAACCACGCTCACTTTCATAGTACGCATGCGCGTTCAATTTTGATTCTATGACGTCACAAATACATGTCTAGACAAGTTTAAACATTTCCAGACGCGTGTAAATGAAAAATTTTATACAATTTTTTTATAAATAAATATAAACAATTTTAATTATTTAAAAAAAACATTTATTTACAATGACAATATACATTTATGAACTTAATAAAAAGTGGTCACAATTATTATAAAAATCTTGTAATGTTGAATTATTATCAACTTCATCGTGACCTAAAGGAATATTTGTCGGTACATTAGATAGTTGTAGTAACCATTTTCGAATATTATATACATTTTTTACAGAACAATGGAAATTATTGTGTGTGTGATTTGTACAGTGGGGTGCAAGGATGCCTTCCCTCAGAGAAGGCACTAATTTCGAGTGGTTTGCCTACGCTCTATATTGTTTTCATGGTCAACTTTGCGGAATGTGGAACGGGAACTGTCAAATTGGAAAAATGAGAAAATGGGATATGTTATTGTTTTTATTTTGGTCATATTTTACAAGAAACGTGAAAATTAAGTGTTAAGTGTTGAAAAAATTATATAATAATAATAATAATAATAATAATAATTGTATTGAAAAAGTGAAAGTGTGAAGACTTTATGAAATATTTTCTCTTTAAAATAGTAAATTGGTTTTTTAATCGTGTTTGCCAGAACATTGTTTAATTTTGTATATTTTAATTAATTTTGTATCTTTAAAAAGTTTACAAACGATAATTGTCAAGTTATTTAATTGAAATAATTTATTGATTACATAATATTTAATTATTGTGAAGAAGTTACGAAAGAAATGTAAGGTTATGTGAATGGATTTTTGCGACGTTTGTATAGAAAAATATAAATATTTATAATTGTAACAATATTTCTTGTTACAAAATAATTAATGATAATAAAAAGTAATACATTGTTAACGATAATAAGCATTTATCAATTATTTCAAAGAGAGGAACTTCTAATTATTTTTTAAAACAAGATATTTTTAAGAAATACACATGTTTACAAAAGTAAACAAGCTTCTTTTAATAACGCATATTATTTTTATTATAAATTATGAACTATAATATTAATAATTTCACTTTCTAATTATTCTAAATTAATTATTTTTAAAACTAAATATTATTATTTTCACATTATTCACAAAATGTAACAGTAAATACAAAATAGTGGCAAAATGTTTTTTATCGTAAATTAAATATTTGAATCAAAATTTTAAATTATAATTTTTAAAATTACAAAATGTTTGTTTTGATAATGAAATAAATTGATTCTTTACTACATATGGTGTTTTTTTGTAATATTCTCTGTATATTTTAGTTTGATAAATTTGTAATTCTATGTTTTGGTTTGTATAGTTAAACAGTAAGTTCTTAAAAATTAAAAATTAATTTTTAATTAGTCATTGTTTTATTTGCAGTGGTAATTGTTTGAATGCTATTTAACAGAATTTTTGTGAAATCAATGCATGTAATTGCTATTTAACAAGATTGACATTTAATAAAATTACTTTTTGAATGAACTTTGATTTGGATAAATTTTAATGTTGGTAAATTTTTAAATGGCTCAAGTTTCAACAAGATGAGGGAAATTATTTTCATTTTATACATGCCAACTTTTTATTACTGCCGATAAACCTTGGAAATCAAAATATTAATCTATACTACCTTTTTTAATGTAGCGGCTTTCAAGTTTTAATCCTCACAACCATCGTTATACAGGTAATTTGATTAATTAATAAATTACAAACTTTTTCCATCATAAAGTTTATTTTTTTAACTTATGAATAAATGAAATATCACAATTCAAAAAAATTTGCACATGGAAAATAGATTTACTTTTTGTGAATATTTTTATCTTATGTTTTTTGGAATTTTATAAAATAATATATATTAATAAATATATGGAATAATATTTATTATTCTATTAATATTAATATTATTATTATTATTATTATTATTATTAAGTTAAAAAAAAAAATTTTTTTTTAATTGAATTATTAAATAGCAGGATTTAAAAAAAATCCATTTGTTTAAAATTTCATTTAGACAGCGTGCTAACTTTATTTACAGTGCAAACTTAAATCTGTCAGAATTCTAAAGTCACATAATTCTTTTTCATTAAAAATTACATTTTTTCCTAAACGAAGCATCTAATATGATATCATTTTTAATTGTAATTAAGTAATAATTTGATCTCAATTTAGAATTTATCAAGAATACAGACCTCGGATTGCACGATTTTTTCGACTTTTCTCGACTTATTTTAACAACTTACGACTTTTTCGACTAATTATACAACATTATTAGAAAATTTTTACAACCGTTTTCAACAAAATTTAAACTTTTCTAATATAAAATTGAAATTTTCCAAAATTCAATTATTCAAACAATTGTTGACTCAAATTGATACTTTTAATCAAATTCTTCGGAAAATCCATTATTAAAAACCGTTTCTCAATTAATAATTCGTTAAAATTCAATTATTGTTTCAACTTTTGTAAAAAAAATTTCATTTAAAATCTCTTGAAACCGAATTAGATACTTATTTCTAAAAAAAAAAACTTAATTGCAACTCTTTGAATATTTACTAATTTAAAAAAATTTCTCTCAAAAATAATCATTTACAATACCTTTAATACAGTTTTTCGTGATTTCAATTATTTAATGACAAATCTAATTGACAATCCTAGAAAATTTAAATATTGTTTGAAACCAATAAAAAAATATTTCAGCAATCGAATTTCATAAAATTTTCAATTATTTGAAATCTGCTCAAGTTCAAACCTTAATAAAAATCTGAACTGCGGCTGATCTTTTGAAATTCAATTATTTTTAAAACCCTTAACTGAAATTCTTTACTAAATTCATTATTGTTATGCATTCAATCAAGTTATTCGAAAATTCTATTATTAAAAACTAGTTTTCAATTACACATCTAAAAAAGTCGCATATTCTCCGTTCTTCAATTGCATATTTCTTAAAATTTCCACCTAAACTGTTCTGAAATTTAATTATTTCGAAAATTTTTATCTGAAATTTTTCGCCAATTTAAATATTTTTAATAATTTCAATCTATTTAAAGAAAAACATTTTTAATGTAAAAATGTATTTAATAAAAAAATTTATTTAATAAAAAAATGTATTTAAAATTTTGTAAAATTCAATTACACTTTAGAATTTCGGAATAATTTTTGACGGTTCCAATCTTTAAACATTTTTATTTAAAAATGACGTTTGGAAATTTTTGTCAGCCTCAATTTTGAATTTTCAAATTTTAATTAGAAATAATGTCACAAACTCGAAACTTTCTTTACTTTATTGAACTTTAGATTTTTAGAATGTAATTGTAATTTTTTGGAACATTTAAACTCAAAACTTTAGCAAAATCTTGGAATAAAAAAAATTTGAATAAGTCAAGCTTGAAAATTTTTTTGAAAATTAAACTTTTATGTATTTAATACATAATAACAATAGTTAATACTAATAAAATATTTATTAACCATTTAAATTTATTTAAAAAAAAGAAAATCGACTTTTTCGACTTTTCTTGCTATGTAAATCGACTAAATCAACTTTTTTTTCATCCTAAAGTCGATCCGAGGCCTGAGAATATTTTAATAGATTAATTTTTTAATTTTCGCTAAAATGCATTTGCCGAATGTTTTTTTTGGATGGATAAAATATTGGTTCAGTGAGATTCTCATTTATTTAATAATTTTGTCAATTTAAAATTTGGCTAAATAAAAGTCTGAAGAAGCAATAAATACCCAATGGGAAAAAAACCATTGGCGCATCAATGGCCCAATGATGGGAGCCACGAATGCCAATAATGTTCCATTAATGGCTCCCAATGATGGTCCATTGATGGTAAACTCTTGGGCTGTCCACGCCGATGCCAATGATTGGCAACCATCATTGGCCAATCATTGGCTGCCAATAATCGACCAATGATTGGCATACATCATTGGCAAATTCTTGGCTGCCAATTATTGGCATCCACCATTGGCTAATTAATGGCTGCCAATAATTTGCCAACAATAAAAAAAATTTTTAATTAAATTTAATTAGGAAATATTTTTTAAAATATTTAATATTAATATTAATTTAATATTTTTTAAATATTTTTTCATATTTTTTTTATTAAATTTTAATGAGAAAAGACTCTCCCTCACATTTTCACGTGACAGGAACTCCTTTTGCTTCAAAAATTATTTGCCATCACATCCTGGAGCACCAGGAGAGGCAACGGGCAGAATATATTCTACGATAGGAGAGGATCGCTTCGCTCCTTATATACTATTCGGGTGGCGAGTTAGTTGCGCGAAAGACTGATGGTCGCCCTCTCTATGCGGCGGTGAGTAAACTAAATTCTATAACTACTACATTCGCGCAGACGCAAGGCGCGAATTCAAATTTAAAGAATTTATTAGTTTTTCATTTTGAACTATAATTAAATGCATCATAAATTATATCACTTTTCGTCGACAAAATATTTATTACATTATCTGAATAATAAAGTGTTAAATAAAATTAAGTTCAATATGTCTTCAATTTTTCTGAATTAATAAATCATATATATATTGAATAAAATAATACATATTATTATTAAACTATTTATTTTTCTATTTTTCTGCTACAAATAATTTATTATTATTTACCAAGATTAAAATTAAACATTTAAAGACATAAAAAAAATGTTTATTATTTTAAGGATTTTAAAAGTAAAAATTTATTTTTTTTTCTTATTAAATTATTATTATGCACATTTTTAAAATTATTTCATATTAAAAAAAAACGAAAAAAAACGCAAGAGGAATGAGTCGAATATTTTAACAAATTTATTCTCTTATAATAAATACAATAACGATATTTTCATTAGAAAAATTTATTTTAGTTTAAAATTTTTTTTTACATAAATTAAAATTTAAATAATTTCCTAATCTATCACCTGCACTTCTTCTGTTTCTTTATTTTTTTCTTTTTCATTCTGCTCTGTTTCGGTTGCATTATTCTTATCTATCACTTTATTTTCTGTGTTTTGGCGTTCTTTTCGTCCTCCCTCTCTATCATTCGACTGCGATAACCAAATTCCTATCGCACTGGAAATTTGTGCTTCTTTTACGTTACTTAATTTGAAATTGATTGCATCTAAAAATATTAATAATATCTTTAGTATTAAGTAAAAAAAGAATATTTCTATTGTTGAGGCAAAAAAACCATTTTTCTATTATACATACCTTTTATACATAAATATGTATTAGTTTTCGAGAAATCTTTTTTCCCTTCTCCTTTATTCAATTTCCCCTTTCCAGAATATTCTTTTTGGACATCTTTTTTAACAATCGTGGGCATAACTGCTTTTATTGCATCCCGAATATCTTTTGATAATGCAATTTCGCGTAATGTATGTGTTTTCTAAAAATAAGGAAACGAACAAAATTTTAAGGTAATTAGGTTTAATTATAATAAACACATAGTAATACAATACTAAAAATTTACCAAATTTTCACGTGTCTCAGCACTTTTTTTCAGATCATCTTCAAAGGAAAGGAATTTGTCAAGTGTCTCGACAGGCAATGGTAAGGTTAATGATTTTTCCAAAAATGTTTTTACATCGGAGGCAAGAGAAGCAGACTTAATTTCCTTGATCGTTTCGAGAGACAAATCAATTTTAGATTTACAGCAAAAAGAATGTCAATTTGAGAAAAAAAATTACAATTTTAAAAAAATTTTGAAAAATTACCAAAAGCATGAGAAATATGAACATATTAATAATAATTGTTTGATAATTTTATGCCTTAAAATTTATAAGATTAAAATAGTAAAAAAAAAACTATATTTACTTTTTTCGGACACAGATTGCATGTTTTTCTGCTTGGTTTCATTCTCGGCGTTTTCATCATTCGAAGACAGTGAATCATATTTTGAAGTCTCTTTCGACTTTTGGAGTTCCGCTATGAAAAGAAAGAAAAATTATATTTATTTCCCAATTTTGGCCGACACCACGTAAATAAAATAAAAATATTTTAAATAAAAGTTTGATTAATTTTAATTTTGAAACAATTGTACGTCTGACAATAAATAAGCTTACGAAAATCATAAATCAAATATACAGTGAACTATTTATTATTATACAATTTTAAATAATTTACCCTTTTCAGATACTGATTGCGCATTTTGATAACTGGTATCAGATCCGATTTCTTTCTCACTCGAAGAAGATGAATTATATTCTGCAGTCGTCTTTATTGTTTTGAATCCTGTAATTTCTTTTAATTTGAAATTTTTTATATAACAGAGTAAAAATAACTTTAATTTTTAATTTTTACTTCATTTCGTTTAAAAAACAAAAGCGAATAAATTAAATTTGAAAAGCTTTGAAATAAAAACAAGTAAATTTGATTTGTAGCAAACTAATTTCTTAGTTAATTAAATATATTCATATATTCACGGCATACTTTTCGTTCGTACACGTTTTTTAGATTTTTTTGTTTTTTTCTCAGCACTACTGTCTGTCGAAGAATTTCCTTTGGTTGAAGAAGGAGACTTCACAATATGATTGTTGTTTCCCGAGTCTACAAATTTTTTTTCTAATTATTTATCAAAGCAGGTAAATAAAATTTTATAATATTTAAAAAAAATTATTTTACCTTGATGCTCTTCCTCCATGTCAAAATCTAAAACTTTTTGTAATGCACTTTCAGCTTCCTCTTTTGACAGTACTTTTATGGAAGAATCTTTTTCGTTTTGCTCGGCGTCTGTACTGTTTTGAATGTACCCATCTGAGATCATCCTTTTCATTCTTCGATGTGCTGTTGCATAATCACCTTAAAAAATATAGTATTTTAATTAATATTATGTACAGTTATTGTACCTATAAAAAATAATTTAGTTAATCAAAGTGAAATTAAATTATTATACGCTTTAAACTTACTAGCCTGTGTTTCTACATTTACTGAAAATTCCTTCCACGATTCTACAGGATCAGATTCTCCACGAACCCAAGCATCAACAAATTTATAGCATTTAGGATCCGGATATTTACACAAATAATCATTTTCTTTCGATCCACTTTTGATCCAATTCTTGGGAACTACTTCGATAGACTTTTTTGCATTTTTTTTGTAGAAGTAAATTCAACAATAATAAATTTCGTGTCCGGTTCCCAATTGAGTAGCAGCCTGCAATAACTCGCCGAGCGCTTGGCCGATCGCTCTAACGCCAGTCAAACGTTCAAAAACGTGAAAAAAATGAAAAATCAAAATTTTGATTTTTGAAAAGTGCAATCTTGTAGGACATAAGATGGCGCATCTTTTTTTCCTTTGAGTTTTTTTTGTAGATCAAAAAATAGAGTTAATATATGCAAAACACTTAAAAATTTTATTTCACAAATTTCATTCAATTTTTAAACATAAATCATAGTATCTTTGACAAATTTCAATGAATCTTATTGAAAATTAATATACATACGTATTTAGGTCCATAGAAGACGACAACATAATCAAATCCGATAATTATAAACTTTAAATACGAAAAAAATTTATTGCTCTCAAAGGTTCATAGTGTGATTAATTTCAAACAATTGTATTTTACCAATTCAAATTTTCCGATATTTTAAGACTTGATACGAGTTCTATTTTTCGACCGGTTTTCTATTTTTAATCTGGGGCACTTAAGATATTGAACAATAAATTATTTTGTAAAGTTTTTTTTGGAATAATTCAAAGTAATAAAATTGCACTTGGTTAAATAGATATACCAAATTTTATGCGTTTAATTCAATGATACACGAAATTTTTTCTTATACGAATGTGTCATCAAAACAAAATGTAAACTAACATAACCTAAACTTGTCAAAACTTTTTCCAAAAATTCACAGTAAGCAATTATTATATATTCACCTCGCCAACTGTCCTGTTTTACTTACTATTCCACGGATTTTACTCTTTTTCCCCTTCGATAATCAGTGTAAATAAAATCTTCAATAATAACACAAGCTTTATAACCAACGAAATGTCTCTCAGCGCATACGAAGCATAAGAATCCGCGGGACAAGGTCACGTGAGTCTGTGTCAGTGTTGCCAATGGAAGCCTTATACATAACTATATATTTAAATTTATCTTCGTATATTTAAAAAAAACCTTTTTTCCCCCTTCTTTTTGCTGTTTTTTTGTTTTATTCATTCTTTTTAATTTTTCAGTAAAAAAATTAGTTTAAAAATACAGAATTTTAATCTTTTTTCCATTTATTAAACATATTTGTTTTAAAAATTGTGAACTAGTAATTTTTTTTCCTTAATTGTTTTATTTAATCTTAATTTACATAATGAGAAACATAATTTTTATGTTCAGCAGGAACAATTTTTTTTATTTTTGAGTCAAAGAGAATTCGGAATTTGTCATTTATATTTGTCATTTGAAAGGCTTTCACACTTAAAATATTTTTATAAAAAATTCCGATATCTAGTATGATGTGTTGTATTTTAAATAAACACATGCAATTAATATTTCTTACACTAACAAATGTGAAGAAGACTTAATGCATGTTGTTCATCTTTAATTTTTAAAACGACGCATTTTTTTTCAATGTCGTCTGACGGAAATGTCTCTCTTTTTAAATTTTCGCTGCCCAGTTTCCATATTCCGACATTTGATGATTTGCAGGGGTAAGCAAAGGAGTCCCCTTTAGACTGGATGGTGTGTCCTGTAACGCTGTATACCTCATTGTTTTTTTGAATTTCAGTAACTTTGAAAAAAGTATTATTTTTTAAAATTACAACGTTGTCCGGCCGAGTTGTGGTAATTTTCACATCCTTTAAAGAAATGCTTGTGATTTCTCCGCTAAATTTGTTTTGTTCCGCAATTACACCAGTTTTTTTCTTTTGAACGACGCTATTAATTGGTCGTTCAGACTCTGATAATTGAGGGCAATAGTCAATTTCTGATATTCTTTTTATGATTTGCGGAACTATATCTTTTCTACCTTTTATCAACCTTTTCAACTGACCAAGGCAATTTTCTTCTTAGACTTAGAAACAAGTCGTTCAAGACAAAATTTCATAAATCCTTCAAAAAATAAATGCATTGGATCTAGGTAAAAGTCTCTGATTGGATCAAAATTTATAAGATTAAGAAGGTAACAATCCTTCACGTGATGTTCTGTTTGAGATTTGTTTCGAAAAGAGTCTTCGGTTCGTAATTTTGAATTTGTTTCATTAAAAACTCGCTTTCTATTAACGGTGATTCCATGCACTGCGCAACGCTCACAAGAACAAAATCCAACGTGACCTTTTGTTCCTTTCGCGAAAGATCTAGCTGGCGTGTCGCAAATAAATCCCAAAAAATTTACAGCGTACCAAACTCCATTAATACATATACCATTCAAAATAATCTGATTCATTTCGGTAACAAATTTTTCAAAAAACTCTGTCGCAGAATCAGGTTTAGAATTTCCTCCGAAAAGAGCAATTATGAGGGGACGGCTCTCGTATCCATCGTTATCGACTTTTCCCAATATTGGCCACAATTGTTCTCTTGAGTTTTCAAAAACTTGCATTCCATCTATATTTACTGCAATGTCGATTACTTTTTCAGTAAATGTAGATGGATCGATGATTTTTTCTAGAGCTTTTCCAACCCCAAAGTAAGCAATAGATCCAAGTTTTCCACGAGCGCTTTTCATAATTGCAATGTCAAAATGTTTAGCTGGAAGAGATGGAAGCAGTGTAGCTGATGATTTTGGAAGATCAGATAATCCTTCACTTCTTAAATAACCCAATAATTCTTTGATACAATTTCTAGTTAAACAGCTCCTGTACTTGATTGCCACACATGTAATTTTGCTCTTAAATTTGCAAAATGTTTAACTCCTCCTTTCAGCAAAATTTCCGCAACTTCTGGTATTTCGCAAGCTTGAGGTATATCTTCTGGTGAACTGTTAGATGACTGATCTGATTCACTGGAATTACTTTTTAAATCAATGTTATCGTCAACCTCAGGCAAAAATTGATCAACGATGTCTATGTTTAAATCAGATTGTGGAAAAATAATGTCCTTATTTTCACTAGATTCCAAAAACAAATCACTGGACCGATTAAAATTTTCGAAAGTCACATCTATATTGTCCATGTCATTTTTAAAATTTTGATGGGATTCTGAGACTATTAAACTGTCGATTACATGGCAATTTTCGACATCATCAATTTTTCGTTTCTTGATATCATCATCACAACTACTATTTACAGACATTTTCTCCTGTTCACGTTTCAGTGCACGATACTTTCGTTTCCGATAAGTATCAGACATTTTTAAATATTAGAACCTAAGAAAGTAAAAATATTAAACAACACATACGTAAAACTGGATAATTATTATCATTTTCCTTATATTACCTGGTCTACTAAAAGAGAACTTACGTGTAAAAACAAGTATTAAAGCAAATTTGTTAACAGCTGTTGAAGTAAACAAAAACCATTGAAGAGATACAGACTGATACATGTTATCTTTATATTTTGAAAAATTTTAAACAAATGATGACTTTTTGTTTTCACCATATTAAAGAGCGTCTCCAACTATCAAAATCGCCGAAAAAGTTAAAAATGATTTTTTTACACGTAAAGTCTCTTTTTGAAGACCAGATCACATGTGTCAGTGACTTTATAGTCAACAAATCTCTGTACACGTTTATAAATGTAAGATAATAATAATCGATTTAACAAATATTTTTACAAGAAAACAAGCTTACAATAAATAATTAAATAATAAATTAATACTTTTTCCTCTCCAATTTACAAAACAATCCCAGGCTTCGAAGCGTAGTAGGAAATGAAAAAAAGTATCAAAAAGTAGCATTTTGAATAAAAAAAGTAGCCTCCAATTTTAAAAAAAGTATCAAAAAAGTAGCCAGTTTAAAATAAAGTAAAATTAGCTTTTTACGTAAGGAGTTTAAATTTAAATATTTTCTTCATTAAAAAACTGTAAGGATTATGACATAAGTAACAATATGAACTTATAAAACTTTTATTAAATTTTCAAATAATCATGAAATACATTGAAACATAACTTTTCAGGCGATTTTTTACATAAACAAAACGCAATCGTTTATTATATTTTTTATGTCATAAATCTTAATTATCAATAAAACTTCATATTCGAATTTAAATTAAAGAAAGAACATATTAAGTAAGAATTTTTTTAAATACGTTCTTAGAACTTTGAAATCAAATACTTTCATTCGCAATTTTTCACATATAATAAAACGTAACATTTCACATATAATAAATCCTAATTTTCAATAAAACTTCGTACTCATTAAGAATTTTTTTAATTATGAGCTCAAAACTTTAAAATTAAACACATAATATCTCTTTCGTCGATATTTAAAATAAAAGAAATACAACCGTTCGTAATACTTTGCGTGTATTAAGTCGTTATTTGCAATAAAACTTTATATTTGAATTTATATTAAAGAACATATTCAGTAAGACTTTTTCTTAAATTATATTCTTAGAACATTGAAATCAAACATATAAACGTAATATCTTTCATGTCGATATTCTAAATAAATAAAACGCAATAGTTCGTAATACTTAGAAAATAATAAAATATGATTTTTAATACTAATTAAATAAAAAGAATCGTTCGTAATAATTTCGCAGATAATAAAACGTATTTTTTAATATTAATAAAGATAATTCACTTCTTCGTCGATATTTTAAACAAATAAAACGTACTTTTTAGTAACATTTCACATACAGTAAGTCTTAATTTTCAATAGAAATCTATACTAGAATTTGAATTAAAGAAGATCTGCCATCAGAATTTTTTTTTTAATTACTCGTTCAGAATAGGGATGGAAAAGTCGACTTCGACTTTAGTCGAAAGTCGACTTTCGATACTAAAAAGTCGACTTTTCGCGGTCGACTTTGATTTGGTCGAAGTCGATGAAAGTCGATCTTCGTCGGTCGACTTCTCGACTTTCTGTCAACATGAAAAACAACTGACACGTGATAAACACGCATGACGAAACTGTGGACTAACGGTTTTCGGGACGTTATATATTATTTTTCGTACATTGTGTTGCACGACATTATTTTTAATTAAATATTAAGCACATGGGTCCTAGTGCTGTTTGGATTTATTTTTCAAAAATTGGTGACGGCAGTAAAGTGCAGTGTACAGAATGTAAAAAGGAAATGTGTTTTAATAAGAATATTTAAATAATATTTAATAACAATAATTTCGATTGAATTATAATTATAATTAGATGATAAAGAATAATTTTAATATTTTAAAATAGAATGTTTTTACCATTAATGTAGAAATATAATCAATTACATTAAAAATGTTTATTCTGGATTTTTCCTTTCATAGTTAAGTATTACTTATTGTAATATAATTAAATTTAAGTTCATCAAATTAGATTTTTCTTAAAAAAATGATTCAGAGATAATTATTAATAAGTTATAAATGAATATTCTTAAAATAAATATGATTTCAAAAAAAGTCGATAAAAAGTCGACTTTTTTTACAAAGTCGACTTCGGTCGACTTTAAAAAGTCGAAAGACTTAAAGTCGATTGTAAAGTCGAAAGTCGACTTTTCGTTTCCCCTTTCCATCCCTAAGTTCAGAATCGTGAGGAATAAAAACAATACCTTTATTTTCCTGATTGGTTTTAAGAAAACTATCAATTCTTTTATTTTGAATTACTTTTTGTTTTTTTTCTGGTACCACAGTTTTTTTATTATCAGTCTTTCGTTTTCTCGCTTTAGGTTTACTTGACAGAGTTTCTGATTCGCTACTTTCCCTTACATTTGTCGCATTTTTGATCACGCTCTTCTTAATTTTACTTTGTGACTTACTAGCTAATTGTGAGTTTGTACTAAGAATTTCTTTATTACAGTTAATTTGAACTTTGGACAATCTGCTTTGTAATAAATTATTTAAGACTTTCTTTTCCTTTTCAGATTTTTGCTTTTGAAGGCTTTTCAGTTGTATTTTAAGCTCTTGAAGATTGCTGTTTATTTGTTTTATTCGATTTAAATTTTTCTTTTCCTCTTCAATTCTTAGCTCTTCCCTTTTAGAAGCTTCAGACATTTCATTTTTCCGTTTCTCTTCGTTTTCTAAATAATCCTTATAGGAACGATGTGCAAATTGCGCTTTTGTTAACAAATCTTGCGTTATTGGGAGCAGGTGCAATTGGTCTTTGAATTTTTTTGTCGAATCATATACAGTTAATCTCGCATTCAAGGTTCTTTCGTCCATCCTCGTCTTATCTTTTGTTAAAGTTAATTTCGATGTTGAGAAGCCTCTCTCAACGTCTGCATTTCCATGGGACAAAGATAGCGCTACTTTCACTACTTTCGTAATTAATGGAAACATTAAATCACCACTAGAATTCTTCTTTTGAAAGATATTTTTTTGGTAAAAATGATCGAATCTCTCATCTACTTGAAGATCGGATAAAGGTTCTAGCTGTAATAATTGCCACTCATCAATGAGTCCGGTAGTCGACAAATTTTCTAATGGCAAATTTTCTGCTATTTTGACTATATCGAGAACGCTATATTTGCTGCAGATTCTTCGTGGTTGAAGACATCTACAAGCATAAAGAATACTTGACTGAGGGTAGGCCCTAAGAGAGGACTTCTCCAAAATGTGTAAAGCAGCTTTTTTATAATGATTTCTAACATTCGTTAAAAATATTAAAGAATCTTTTTCAGAAAAGTCTTTCATTTGAGATCTAACATCTTGATCAAGAGGAATTGACTTCAAATCAACAAAATTGTTTTCGGCGAAAAGGTCTTCACATGTTAACTTGTTACGTTTGAACTGCTTTACACTTTCAGGACTACAAATTCTTCCAGCTAGAGTCAAAATTAAATTTTCCATTTTATCGAACATCAAGTGAACTAGAGGTTCTTCTTTCTGAAAGAGCTTGGAGAATGTGTTAAATAAAGTTGAGCTACTTATAACAAAGTGTATCTGCGCTAGCATATCTTTCTGTCTTAAATGATTAGATATTGATTTGTACCGCAAAGACTCTAACGTATTTTTCATTCCCTTTTTATTTAATAGAAATTTCAAAAAATACTCATTTAAAGCTGGCCATTGTTTGCATAACAGTATTGCACTTTCTTTAATAGTTAACCACCGCGTAGATGAGTGCTTTATAAAGCGACGAGGTTCTAAGTTGTGCTTTTTTTGAATAGTTTCGTAATCCTCAATACGGGTTGGTTCTTTATGAAAAAAGTAGTAAACATCAATCGCGAAGTCACTAACGTCTTTTCCAAATTCGGAAATACCTTTTACGAGAGCATTATTAAAAACATGTAAATTACATGTGCCTACGTTTAATAAACCTTTCTTCCTAGAAGATAACATTTGTTTGTTCATTTTATCATAAACTGATTTGTTGACGTTTGGTCCGTCAGACCCTAACATAATAAGTTTGTTTATCGCAAAATCTTTCATAGCATCATTTAGATGCTCCACTAGTATGTCAGCTGTCGCAGTTCCTAAAAAATACTTCTTTAAATGGTGATCGATTATTTCGTTAGACTTTTCCGAAAAATATCGTACTCGCGTTTGTAACTCTTTTCTTCCCTCTGCATTCGTGGTTTCGTCATACGATATGACGAATCCTGAGCTTTGATTTACATCATCTATTAATTTAGTTTTGTAATACGGTTCTAACGCTTCCGTAACTAAATAGCGAAATTTCGTAGAACTTAATGTAAAATCGTTGACAATTTGAGAATCTGGAAACATGGCCTTAAAAGTATTCGCTAGACCGTCGCAAGAATTTCCCGACATGTTACAATGAATACACCTAATACTCCATAAAATTTCAGCTGTTGAACTTTGATTGTGAGAAGACCACAGCTTGACAGGCTTTTGAGATACGTTGCTTTTTTGATATTCCATTGCCTGAAATTTCAATTGATTGACGTCGACTTTATTCGCTATATTTTTAGCGTGTTTTACAGAAGATGAATGTTGAAAAATGTCGGCAAACCCTTTTGCTGAGTAAGAAAAGCTCTTTTGACATACGTGACAATACGCATGATTTTGCATTTCCTGAAAATTTTCCCACCATCTTCCAATTTTATAATTCATTGCATCTTCGCGCTGCAGCCAGTCTGATTGAAATTTATAAACTTTCATCGTAAAAAATTCTTCTTAAAATAATTGGAAAATATTATGTCATTAAATTAGCCAAGCCAGGAAGTAATTGTCAACAGAATGCAAAAGTTTTCCATTTTTCACATGATCTGTAAAAATAAATTATAAAAAATTAGGCAACGTAAAATATATACAAATTTAGCTCAACTTAATTTTGTGTTGATTATATATTATTTTAAGAATACGTACCTGGAAAATATTTAAAACTTATTCAACAGTTCTAAACAGTATTATCGTGGTTTAATTGTAGTGGATTCAATTGATCTTTTTTTAAGGAATCGAAACGCCGATTAATCGGTCATCTAGTTTTCAAACATAAAACATTTGATAATAATTCACACTTTAACAGATCACAATAATTGAAGACCTCGACGGAATAACGATCTATGGCACATTTTATCAAAAATGAAATTATTGTGAAATCATGTACATTTAATATCAATAAACACGTATAAATGATTAAAAAGTGCAAATAAAGTATAGAAAATGTAAATTTTTATATTTTTTTATCATAAAGTTTAGTTGGAATAACGATCTACAGCACAAACAAAAAACAAATTGTTAATTTCATTTCGAAAAATAAACAATTTATATATCCAATTCAATATATACTAGCAAAATTTAAAAAATGTTTTCTTATTAAGGTTGCACGGAGAGAAATAGATGGTAAAAAATTATGATCTTAAGATGGTTAAAGGTAGATGGTATCCGGTACAATCTATATGCTACTCGGTACCATGAAAGATGATAAAAAAGTGAGGTTATGTTACCCACTTTACAATCAGTACGTACTTTCGACCGAGGTATGAAGAAAAAACATTTGCCTATCTCAATAGGTCGTAATGGAATAAGGATCTATAGCACGTAAAAAACTCGTTTATTTTTTAATTTTTGTGAAAACTATGAATCAAAATGTGCAATTTTTCGTTTACAATGTATTTTTGAATTACTAACTTTATGTTAAATACAAATATTTATATTGTTATAACCAATTTGATACAAATTTTTGTTTTTCATGTCTATTGTAAAATTGTTAAATTGTGCCATAGATCGTTATTCCGTCGAGGTCTTCAATTATCAATACGCGAAAAATATTTTTTTATATATTGTAAAACTAGATCTTTCAAAATTTAGTAAAATTGTTCTAAAAATATTGCTAAGTAAATTTTAATAGTGTTGACACGTTTAGCACACAAAAATGACAGTTTTTAAATAAAGGAAAATGTCAAATTAATTGAATTTTTTTCTTTCATATATGTCACAAATTTAAAACAAAAGTTTGTAAGATAACTTACCATTATTATTATGAATATTTCGGGTACAGTCAACTTAAATGATTTAATAATTCACTTTTATAAATCTACCACTAATACTCGTTAGTTTGTACACGGCGTGCTGATAACAGATTGTACAGAATACAGGTTATGGCTTATGGCGAGCACGCTGCGTGATGTTATCAGTGACGCTTAAGATGCTTTTTCATGGGGCAACAGTTGCCGAAGCAACACTTGAGATAGAAAAGGACAGTTATATTTCTATCCTTTTTTATCTCACGTGTTCAATTGGCAAATGTTGCCCTATGAAAAGGCACCTTTATTTAAGCTGCATCCACGCGGAAAATAATGATTCATTGACTTGGCGGACTTTTTGAAATAAAAAAATTACTAAATAATAAAAAATCTTTCATTCCATCAATTTATTGCACTATTTTTTTTTAAAAAAGTAGCATTTAGTAGCTTTTGGACAAAATTAGTAGCAAAAAAGTAGCCTCTTTCAAAAAAAGTAGCAAAAAAGTAAAAAAGTGTGTCACTTCGAAGACTGCAATCCTTATATTGTTTTATAACCTTATTTCATCATAAACATCTACAAATAACAATATTTGTCTTATATCAAACGTCAGCAAAAAACACAATTTGTTAAATAGCAAACGTCAAAAAAAACAAGATATATGTAATAACAGACTTAAAAAAACGAATAACTTTATTAAAAGCAAAATTTCACGAAAAACTAGGTTTCTTTAAAAGCAAATATTAACCAAAAGAAATTGTGAAGCAGACGTCAATAAACATTTTGTTCACACTATGATAAAAAACCATAAGTCAAGCCACCACGAAAAAAAATTACTAAATTTAAAAACATGATTCAAAAAGAATGTTTAAATAGAAATATTTTTTTGGATCATTGAAATAAATCGTTAAACAAAAAAACAGCAAAAAGAAGGGGGAAAAAAGGTTTTTTTTAAATATACGAAGATAAATTTAAATATATAGTTATGTATAAGGCTTCCATTGGCAAAACTGACACAGACTCACGTGACCTTTTCCCGCGGATTCTTATGCTTCGTATGCGCTGAGAGACATTTCGTTGGTTATAAAGCTTGTGTTATTATTGAAGATTTTATTTACACTGATTATCGAAGGGGAAAAAGAGTAAAATCCGTGGAATAGTAAGTAAAACAGGACAGTTGGCGAGGTGAATATATAATAATTGCTTACTGTGAATTTTTGGAAAAAGTTTTGACAAGTTTAGGTTATGTTAGTTTACATTTTGTTTTGATGACACATTCGCATGAGAAAAAATTTCGTGTATCATTGAATTAAACGCATAAAATTTGGTATATCTATTTAACCAAGTGCAATTTTATTACTTTGAATTATTCCAAAAAAAACTTTACAAAATAATTTATTGTTCAATATCTTAAGTGCCCGAGATTAAAAATAGAAAACCAGTCGTAAAATAGAACTCGTATCAAGTCTTAAAATATCGGAAAATTTGAATTGGTAAAATACAATTGTTTGAAATTAATCACACTATGAACCTTTGAGAGCAATAAATTTTTTTCGTATTTAAAGTTTATAATTATCGGATTAAAATTGTCAAAACTTATGTCTATTAAAAGATTTTTGTTAACGAAATGATTTACTCTAATTTTCTTTGTCGAATGTGCCGCTTGTAGAATATGCTTATTGACAAATCTTTTCTTCCTCTTGGTCTTATTGCTGATTGTAAATTTGTTAAAATTTTATAATTTTATTGCTTCTCAGATGAGTTTAAATTGGGAACCGGACACGAAATTTATTATCGTTAAATTTACTTCTACAAAAAAAATGCAAAAAAGTCTATCGAAGTAGTTCCCAAGAATTGGATCAAAAGTGGATCGAAAGAAAATGATTATTTGTGTAAATATCCGGATCCTAAATGCTATAAATTTGTTGATGCTTGGGTTCGTGGAGAATCTGATCCTGTAGAATCGTGGAAGGAATTTTCAGTAAATGTAGAAACACAGGCTAGTAAGTTTAAAGCGTATAATAATTTAATTTCACTTTGATTAACTAAATTATTTTTTATAGGTACAATAACTGTACATAATATTAATTAAAATACTATATTTTTTAAGGTGATTATGCAACAGCACATCGAAGAATGAAAAGGATGATCTCAGATGGGTACATTCAAAACAGTACAGACGCCGAGCAAAACGAAAAAGATTCTTCCATAAAAGTACTGTCAAAAGAGGAAGCTGAAAGTGCATTACAAAAAGTTTTAGATTTTGACATGGAGGAAGAGCATCAAGGTAAAATAATTTTTTTTAAATATTATAAAATTTTATTTACCTGCTTTGATAAATAATTAGAAAAAAAATTTGTAGACTCGGGAAACAACAATCATATTGTGAAGTCTCCTTCTTCAACCAAAGGAAATTCTTCGACAGACAGTAGTGCTGAGAAAAAAACAAAAAATCTAAAAAACGTGTACGAACGAAAAGTATGCCGTGAATATATGAATATATTTAATTAACTAAGAAATTAGTTTGCTACAAATCAAATTTACTTGTTTTTATTTCAAAGCTTTTCAAATTTAATTTATTCGCTTTTGTTTTTTAAACGAAATGAAGTAAAAATTAAAAATTAAAGTTATTTTTACTCTGTTATATAAAAAATTTCAAATTAAAAGAAATTACAGGATTCAAAACAATAAAGACGACTGCAGAATATAATTCATCTTCTTCGAGTGAGAAAGAAATCGGATCTGATACCAGTTATCAAAATGCGCAATCAGTATCTGAAAAGGGTAAATTATTTAAAATTGTATAATAATAAATAGTTCACTGTATATTTGATTTATGATTTTCGTAAGCTTATTTATTGTCAGACGTACAATTGTTTCAAAATTAAAATTAATCAAACTTTTATTTAAAATATTTTTATTTTATTTACGTGGTGTCGGCCAAAATTGGGAAATAAATATAATTTTTCTTTCTTTTCATAGCGGAACTCCAAAAGTCGAAAGAGACTTCAAAATATGATTCACTGTCTTCGAATGATGAAAACGCCGAGAATGAAACCAAGCAGAAAAACATGCAATCTGTGTCCGAAAAAAGTAAATATAGTTTTTTTTTACTATTTTAATCTTATAAATTTTAAGGCATAAAATTATCAAACAATTATTATTAATATGTTCATATTTCTCATGCTTTTGGTAATTTTTCAAAATTTTTTTAAAATTGTAATTTTTTTTCTCAAATTGACATTCTTTTTGCTGTAAATCTAAAATTTATTTTAAATTTTTATTATTTAGTTTTAAATTTGATACCAAAAACGTAAAGAATTTTTTTTTAAATGACATCAGTTTCTTTGAAACAATTAAAATTTAATTTCAAATAGAAACAAAATCCCCAGGAGGCTTCACATTAGTTTTCAGTTCCCCAAAATCAAATTCATTTCACAGCATTCATTTCTGTTGTAAAAAATGATTTTTGATTGTATTAATTTTTTATTTATGTTTAAATAAAAAATTATTTAAGACAATTTATCTGTTGTTTAACTATGTAATAATTATGCCTCATAATTTTGTAGGAAAAAATGAACTGGAGAATAAAAGTCCATCTAAACGGTTAGTAGTAGAGCAAAATATTATCGGACAAAAGTCTGAAAAATTGAATGCGTTTGTGGGATTTATTGAAAAAACGTTTGAAGAACTCGAGAAGAAGTTAGTTAATCACATCGACGAAAAAATTAAAGAATCAGAAACAAGAACATTTGTGTACATTTGTAAAAAATGTGAAAAATTTCAAAGGAGCTTGCAGTATGATGTAGAATAGAGGTCTCTCGAAACCATAAAAGTTATTCAATCTGTTGCTTTCAGTTCTGATGTAAAAACATTTTTGGAAAAATCTTTAACTTTACCATTGCCTGTCGAGACACTTGACAAATTTCTTTCCTTTGAAGATGATCTGAAAAAAAGTGCTGAGACTCGTGAAAATTTGGTAAATTTGTAGTATTGTATTACAATGTGTTTATTATATTTAAGCTTTATTACCTTAAAAATTTTTTCGTTTCCTTATTTTTAGAAAACACATACATTACGCGAAATTGCATCATCGAAAGATATTCGGGATGCAATTAAAGCAGTTATGCCCACTATTATTAAAAAAGATGTTCAAAAAGAATATTCTGGAAAGGGAAAATTGAATAAAGGAGTAGGGAAAAAAGATTTCTCGAAAACTAATACATATTTATGTATAAAAGGTTTTTGCCTCAACAATAGAAATATTCTTTTTTTACTTAAAACTAAAAATATTATTAATATTTTTAGATGCAATGAATTTCAAATTAAGTAACGTAAAAGAAGCACAAATTTCCAGTGCGATAGGAATTTGGTTATCGCAGTCGAATGATAGAGAGGGAGGACGAAAAGAACGCCAAAACACGGAAAATAAAGTGATAGATAAGAATAATGCAACCGAAACAGAGCAGAATGAAAATTTAGAAAAAATAAAGAAACAGAAGAAATGCAGGTGATAGATTAGGAAATTATTTAAATTTTAATTTATGTAAAAAATTCTTAAACTTAAATAAATTTTTTCCTAATGAAAATATCGTTATTGCATTTATTATAAGAGAATGAATTTGGTAGAATATCGACACATTCCTTTTGCGTTATTTGTTCGTTTTTTTTAATAAGAATGAAATAATTTTAAAAATGTGCATAATAATAATTTAATAAGAAAAAAATTAAATTTTTACTTTTAAAATCCTTAAAATAATAAATATTTGTTTTTTATATCTTTAAATGTTTATTTTTTTAATATTGGTTAATAATAATAAAATTTTTGTAGCAGAAAAATAGAAAAATAAATAGTTAAAAAATAATGTTTATTATTTTAATCAATATTTATATGATTTATTAATTCAGAAAAAAATTTAATATTCTAATTAATTACTTTTATATGGTCATTATAAATTTCATTAAAAAAATTTTCATAAAAAGAAAACAATAAAATTAAAATAATATGAAAAATTATGTTAAAAATACTATTTTTATAAGATGTATATTTTTTTATTGCATTATTGTTCATTTACTAATCCCTAAAAATTAAGAAATAACATTTCAGTCGAGTTTGGCTTTCTCAATTTCACGAAAAATTCAAGACATATTGAACTTAATTTTATTTAACACTTTATTATTCTGTTAATGTAATAAATAGTTTGTCGTCGAAAATTGATTTAATTTATGATGCATTTAATTATTGTTCAAAATGAAAAGCTAATAAATTCTAGTTTTTTTAATTTGAATTTAAATTGGCGCCTTGCGTCTGCGCGAATGTAGTACTTATAGAATTTAGTTTACTCACCGCCGCATAGGGAGGGCGACCATCAATCTTTCGCGCAACTAACTTGCCACCCGAATAGTATATAAGGAGCGAGGCAATCCTCTGCTGTCGTAGAATATATTCTGCCCGTTGCCTCTCCTGGTGCTCCAGGATGTGATGGCAAATAATTTTTGAAACAAAAGGAGTTCCTATCACGTGAAAATGTGAGGAGACTTTTTTCTCAATAAAATTTAATAAAAGAAAATATGAAAAAATATTTTAAAAATATTAAATTAATATTAATATTAAATATTTTAAAAAATATTTCTAAATTAAATTTAATTAAAAATTTTTTTTTATTGTTGGCAAATTATTGGCAGCCATTAATTAGCCAATGGTGGATGCCAATAATTGGCAGATTATTGGCAGCCAAGAATTTGCCAATGATCTATGACAACCATTGGTCAATTATTGGCAGCTAATGATTGGCCAATGATGGTTGCCAATCATTGGCATCGGCGTGGACAGCCCAAGAGTTTACCATCAATGGACCATCATTGGGAGCCACGAATAGTCCAAGAGAAAAACCATTCGGTTCAAGATTAAAAATGCTTTTAAATAATAATTAGATAGATTAAAATTCGGGTCAAGGAAAATGCATAATTAATTGAAAATTTAATTATTTAAAAATTGTGTTCAATGTAAATTTCATTATGTAGAAATTGTTCATTAGAAATTGTTTACATTGAAATCTTGCAGTAAGATTATACTGTAAGCTGTGCACACTTTGTATAGCAAACTTGCTGCAAGTTTTGTGCAAGTTTACGTGCTTGATGAGTGTGGATATTTTAGAAAATGGTTTGATTATTATTAATTGTTTTTACAGTGAAAAATACAAGACAAAAATGAAGGCTGAACAAAATATGGAGGTGTGTCAATGATCTGAAGGTGGACAAACATGAGTTTCCAGATGAACGTTGTAAAGAATTTGGCGCGCTAAAAGAAGCTTGAGAAGACATAATTTAATGTGGTTTTTGATAGCTGTTCTGCTTGCTTAGGCAATTAATATGAAAAAAAAACATAAACTTTCTGGCAGTCGCATCAAACTTTCTAACTCAGTTAATCGAAGGTGCGGAAAGTTCTTATCATCATAAGCACTTTAATGTTGTAAAATTTAAATTTAGGTTTTAAATGTTTATTAAAAGTAAATTATCATTTTTTTTGTTTATTATAAATTAAATTACAACAAATTTCTTTGCATTAAAAAATGTCTACAGTTGGTAATTTTAATTTCAATATTATAAAAATGAAAATATTAAGGAACTCGACAACTTTTTTAATATATAAACGAATATTAATGATAAATGCATTGCAAATAGCGGACTTTAATTGTATACGACTGAAAGAGCATTAATTATCATTTTAATAATCAGTCCAATAATCTGTTTTGTCAGGAGCGCTGTTCAAACGTCGATAGGAATTAAATAAATGCAATTGGCTCGATATGAACCCTACTACCGTCTTGAATGACTTTGAATTCCTCGAATTCGTTTACAGGAAGTAATCTACGTACGTTCGGTAGGAAATGGTGTTCCAAAATTTAAACATACTGCTTGGCTTTTTTTGGCATTTATTTCGACAATTTCACCTACTCCGAATATGCTGATGTAACCCCAAAATCCACATGTTTTTCTGCCACTATGCTGAAACGGAGTAAAAAATTTGGATTGCTTCGAATGTTTAAAAATTTTTAAGAAAATTGATAACCAAAAAATTTAATGTCAATGAAAATTATTTTTTTCGACAATAAATACTAATGTTTTGCAGTAAGAAATAAATTTGTTTTCTTTTTAATTTTACATGTTTTATTTTAATATTTTTTATATTATATTATTAGAATATGATTTATTATATAATAAATTTTATAAGATATATATTGTAAACATTTTTAAACATATTTTTAATATATTTTTTAATTTACCTTCTATAATCGAGTTAAAATTATCCAAATCCTGTTCGGATAAATAATCTACTATCATACAAGTGCAATCATAATTTAAATGGGTGATGTTTCCCAAATTTTCAACAGCTTTTTTAATTTTAAAAACCAGCCTATTTGCTCGTAGAAAGGGATCTGTTATCAAACAATAAAAAATTTGAAGCTCATTGCAAAGTTTCAACTCGGATAGCTTTGCATCAAGCGAATTTTTAAATGTCGAGTCCCGAAGAGCTTTCGCTATTTTTCGTGGGCTTAATTTTAAAATCGAACGTATTGTAAATTTATTTTTTTGTATAATAATTTGATTTCCAAACTTTTTCAACCTTAATGTCAGGGCTTTAAAAACACCAAACTTTTCTTGTAGTCTTTCAAATTCTGCTTCTAACTTATGTGCAGATATGATTTCATCATATCTGAAAAACACAAATGATAAGTAAATCATGTCTTTAACACTTGGCTCTAAGTTAATACTCAGTAAGTATTCAATGACATCTATGCAGTTTTTTATATTCTCCTGTGAATCTTCTTTCAATAACCGCATGCAGACTATCGTAAAAATTCTTTAATCTGTCAATTCCGAATAGCCATCAATGTTTATCCCCGCTTGCACAGCCTCTTTAATGTAATCTATTGACTTATTAGACAAAATCATAGTTTGAAATAATGTGAATCCGTTAACGCAAATTCCTAAATCACTGCAAGATGATCCAAGTAATGTTCGGATGTGAGCTATCGACAAATCAAATTTAATGGCATAATATACGGCTAAAGTAACTGCACTGTAGTCATCCTCAATCTGGTCAACATTTTCCATAAGGTATTCATATGGTATTTATATGGATAATTCCCTAGAGGATAGACATAAAATGGTTCAATTAATAATTTTTATTAAATTTTCAGCTAAAAGGTAATGACAAATCATGGTTTAAACAAAAAAAAGTAGTAAAATGCTTTGTTTGTTTCATATTTTGAAAAAGATTGTCAAATGTTTCATTTTTCTCATATTTTCAGTTTTACTTTTAAGAAAAATAATTAAGCAAAAATATTTTTTTTTAAATTTAAAAATGTTCAAATTTATTATTTCTCTTATGTTTGCGGCTAAAAGATGAAAAAGGTAACCGATTAGACCAAATAGAATTAATTATTGATTAAATGAATTATTTTCATAAAATATTTATATTCAGCTGAACGTCGGAGAGAAAAAAGTTTAAACGAAAAAGTCAAATTCTTTCGATTGTTGATTTATTTTCAATTTTTCAAAAACAATTTGTTACAGGATTTTTGTAGCATCATTTTTCACATATTTTAAGGTCAACAACGAAAAAAGGTCAGTGTTCGTAAAAAAAATCGATTTTTAGAAAAAAATAGAAAAATAGCAAACGTTTCATTTTTTTCATATTTTAAGCTTAACTATGAAGAAAAATTACAGTTTGTGTAAAAAATATTAAATTTTTCCCAGATACATTTTTTCAAAAATTATAGATTTTCAAATGAAGTCTTTTTGATTTATAAAACGTAATTCAATTCCTGTACTTTGACCCCGGTAATTAAGAATAATTACCATTTTATCCGTAAAATCGATTGATAGAAAATATGTAACATTTTTTGGAAAAAATAGAAAAGTGAACAAACTTAATAATTTTTTCATATGTTTAAATTATTGATGAAAAAATATTTATAATGTAATTTATTTATTTTTAAAAATACATGGACTATAATTTTTTAATATTATTTAAACACAAAATCCGTTATTGACAATTTTCGAAAAATTAAATTTTTTTTTAATTTAAAAATGAGCAAACTCATACATTTTGCAATATTTGGAAACTAATGATAAAAGCTAATTACGGTTTGAACCAAAGAATTGATTTTTAAATGAAATTTGAACAATGGGAAACCCATAATTATTACTGAATATTTAGTTCGACGTAAAAAATAAATCATAATTTGTACGAAAAAGTCAAAGTGAAAGAATTTCAATAATTTCAAGATAACTAAAGTTTGCAGGTCAAAAATGAAAAAAAGTCACCGGTGAGACAAGAAAATGATTTTTAAGCAATCCATTTTAAAATGCTGAAAATGTGTGTCATATTCTGGTCAACATAAGAACATTATTTACACGAAAAACTTGATTTTTCAAATTCTTTAAATCAGCAAATATAGTATGTTTTTCATATTTTATTCCAGCTCAAAGAAAATGAAGCATGACA